TGAACCAATACCAAGGCTACCTAGCTCCATGTTTCTTGTTATGTGATGAAAATAAAACCCATTTGTTTTCATCTCTGACAGTCAGGTCTTCTACTGCTTGCAAGTGAAGACATGTCCTAAAGACACTCCTAAGTGACATACTTGGTGACTGAAAGAAGAAGTGGCAAGGCCTTTCTTCCCTCTTCTACCTTTCCACCCCTTCATCCACAATTTCCCAACCACTCCTGACATACACTGCAGTCACATTTTACCTTTACACACACACATACACATACATATACACATACACACATATATACATATACATATACATATGGCTGGCCAACAGAAGAAATGGAAGACCTCAGATACCCACCTCTTCCCTATTGGGTGCATCAGGAGGGGCAGTGGCTGCCACTGCCAACAGCTTGATGGGAGTTGTAGTATCACTGAAAACATCTGACACCTCCTGGGTCATGGCCTCCTGCATCCGGGCTTTCAGATCCTTAAAAACGAAAATTTCCAGAAATATCCAAAAAGCACATCTGCCATTGTCCTTCCTTCACTGCCACATTCATTCATTCAGGGTTTCATTCAACTTTATCAGCTATGAGTATCAACTGTATACAAAGAACTGAGCTAGCATGAAACAGGTGTAAGAAGTGAATCCTGCCCACATGACCCACATTTCCCTAGACTGTTCCACCCAAACAAGAAATCTTACTTCCTTTCTTGATGGCCCCTAAGAATAATACTAAGAATCATGGGGTTGAGCCAAAAGAAGACCATGAGATGAGACAGAGTTCCTCACCAATCCCAGTGCTGGAGGGGCCTGACATGATTACAGTAACTGTAAGGATTGTTTGGTGGATGCAGTGCCAAATTTCTAAGCAAATTCTTATATTTAGGGGAAAGAAATCAATAATGGAATTTTCCCGGATATTTCAAATAAGTTTCTAGAAAAACTTGATAACCAATATATGAATCCATTTTTTATTTTAACATGGGTCAAAAGAAGAAGATTCTCAGAAGTCATGAAAAAACTCCTTTTCATAATTATCACACTTCGTCCAATCTAAGTTTTATTCTAGATTAATACTCGAAGAAGGATCAATCACCCCCATTGTTTCTCAAGGTGGGTAGCATGCACTGGCTGGTGGTATCTGAAATGAATATAGGTGTTACACAGACAAATGTTTTTATTTTAATAATTGTGTGTTTCTTTTATAGAATATTAGAAAAAATATAACTAACTCAAACTCCTGATTTCAGGATTTTTATAAACTTTTCTTTTAAAGTTTAAAAAAGGAGTCCATTTTAAGAAAAATACTGACTAAATAAAAAAGTACAGATGATACATGGTAGAGCAAATATGAAAGAGCCCTTGATTGAGTGAAGCTTGAGAAACACAATTTTATCACACACTAGTAAGCTTTTCCTTAATAAGCTCTGGATTTCCTTATATTCTTTTTTTAAATTAATTAATTAATTTAATTTTTGGCTGCATTGGGTCTTCATTGCTGTGCACAGGCTTTCTCTAGTCGTGGCGAGCAGGGGCTACTCTTCGTTGCGGTGTGCAGGCTTCTCATTGCAGTGGCTTCTCTTCTTGCAGGGCTTGGGCTCTAGGCGTGTGGGCTTCAGTAGTGGCACGCAGGCTCAGTAGTTGCGGCTCACGGGCTCTAGAGCACAGGCTCAGTAGTTGTGGCGCGCGGGCTTAGTTGCTCTGCAGCATGTGGGATCTTCCTGGACCAGGGCTCAAACCCATGTCCCCTGCATTGGCAGGCAGATTCTTAACCACTGCACCACCAGGGAAGCCCTCCTTATATTTTTTTTTTTTTTCCGGTACGCGGGCCTCTCACTGTTGTGGCCTCTCCCGTTGCGGAGCACAGGCTCCGGATGTGCAGGCTCAGCGGCCATGGCTCACGGGCCCAGCCGCTCCGCGGCATGTGGGATCTTCCCAGACCGGGGCACAAACCCGTGTCCCCTGCATTGGCAGGCGGACTCTCAACCACTGCGCCACCAGGGAAGCCCCCTCCTTATATTCTTGATCACACCTTTTTCACTTTCCCTAGACTCAAGAAATTATATTTTTTAAAAACTCTCCCTCCTAGTTTTTGAATAATAGTAAGCATAAGAAATGTAATGAGGGACTTCCCTGGTGGCGCAGTGGTTAAGAATCCGCCTGTCAATGCAGCAGATATGGGTTTGAGCCCTGGTCCAGGAAGAACCCACATGCTGCGGAACAACTAAGCCCGTGCGCCACAACTACTGAGCCTGAGCTCTAGAGCCTGCAAGCCACAACTACTGAGCCTGCGTGCCACAATGACTGAAGCCTGTGCACCACAACTACTGAAGCCCATGCACCTAGAGCCCGAGCTCCACAACAAGAGAAGCTACCGCAATGAGAAGTCCGCACACTGCAATGAAGCCCCCGCTCGCCACAACTAGAGAAAGCCTGCGTGCAACAAAGAAGACCCAACGCAACCAAAAATTAATAAATTTATTTTAAAAAAAAAAGAAAGAAAGAAATGTATTGCTATGTGCTCCCAAGTTCTACCTTTAAAGAGTCTTGGAGCTGAGATGCAAGGGCTCTCGCCTGAGGACTCTCCCCTTCCCCTCTGGCAGCCAGGTCAGCCAGCTGGGCAGTCAGCTGGTCCACTCGGTCACACTTTGCAAGAAGATCTTGGCGATAAGGCCCCATCATGACATTTGCCAGACGATGACCTTCAGCCACAAGCCCTCGGATGGCAGCCTGACCTGCATTAAGAGGAAAACACTGAAACTCACATAGACCAGGAGAAGCCAACCACTGTGCCATTCTGGTAAGGATTTCTTTTCTTAGTAATACATTTAGTGGGGTTAGTGGGGGTTTTTCCCCTATCAAGACAAAAAACTGGGAAAATATTAAAAACGTTAAAAAATATAAACCACCCATAATCCCATCACTTGGAGACTGATATATTTGACCATTTCCTTCCACTCTTTTTGAATGCATTGCATCCTCCTATACATACATACATTTCTCTTTTACAAAACTGGGATCATACTATACATTAACTTTTACTCCTTGCTTCTTTTTATTTAATGTGAGCATTTTTCTACATCATTAAATATTATTCAAAAATCATGATCTAAACTCTATGCAACATTTTATCATATGAACCATAATTGTTAATATTATTAAATATTTACACTATTTACATATTCTCATATGTAACTCCTTAGAAACATCTCTAATTATTTTTAGAATAAATTCCTGTAAGTCAAATCGCTGAATCAATGGGTATGAACTTTTTTTTTTTTACGGTTTTTACAAATATTTTGTTTATTTTAATGAAGCTGGTACAGACAATGTCCATTTAAAACCCATATCCCAGGCCAAAAAGTACAAATAAAGTCAAAAAGAGCAGCGTTCTGCTGTATACACTTCTGCATGAATAACTTTAACTGCTAATGAAAATTAGAACTTTTCTGGGATCTTCTGACAAGATTTTTCTTTCATCTTAAAATGCTTTCTCTTCAGTGAAGCCACCTTTGAAGTTAGTCATTATTTGCACCACCTCTGTCACCTTGACTCCAACCTGATATTCCTCTTCTTTTGGTCCAGACCCTCAGATTTTAAAAGTAGCTTCAAGTTAAGGAAAGGTCATTTTTCCACAGTTCAGTTCTCTGAAAAACTTCCATCTCCCACTGAAAGTCACAGTCCAGGAGTGAAGCAATCACATGCTAGAACTTCAGGGCCAATTGGAAAGTCATTATGAACACTCGCATTAGTCAATCTTATTTATCACAAGCCTGTAAATGCACAGTCCTGGAAAAGGCGGCCTCTCTGTGCACACACATAATTTTTAAAAAGGAGAGGGCGATATGAATGGGGCTGAGGTTTGATCACCAAAAATCAGCACAATGTAAAGAAACAATAATGAATAATGGGCACTAGAATTCAAATTACCAGATGTTCTAAAGAGATGGGGTGCCAGTTTTCAATTCTGTTTTGAACACCACATTACAAAAGAACTATTTTTAAAAATAAAAAAGGATTAAGGGAAAAGAAAAAATAAAAATATCTAAATTGTTGAACAACCCCCTGTTTGTTCCTGATAAACTTCAATCACATCTTCCTCCATTCCCAATTCTTTTGGAGTGTGATTATCAGCAATTCTCTGACCTTCAAAGAGAAACCTGAGTGAATTCATGGGAACTCCCTGTCTTTGACAGTATGATTCTTTGAGTTTCTTGAGATGTGTTGTCATTTTCACTTTGAAGTGAATCTCACTGCTATCCTGTCCGATGACTTTGAGTTTAATATATTCTCCTTCCTTCTTATCCCCCAAGTCCTCAGTTGAAGGTTTTGCATCCACATAAAATCGAACACTCCTGATTAAGTGCAAATCCCAAGTAAATTCTTGATATTAACATTCAGATGGAGCACTCTGCTATAAAAGGAAGCTTTCTGCAAATGTTCTGCAACTGCTCTACATACACGAAGTTTTCCTATCCTTTTCCTCAAAGGTATCAGTCATCTTCATGTTAACACCCAGATGAAACGCTTTCTGTTGCTCTAGCAGTTTTGTTCTACTTTGTTTCTTGATTATTTTGAGCTCTCTCTTACAACTGGAAAGCTACTGGTCAGACATGGTGACGGTGGTTTCCCCCGGGGTCTCCGCACAGCAGCGGCCTCGGGTAGGCAGAACCTTGCTCCGGGGTTTACAAATCCGTCTCCGGTATGAACTTTTTTAAAGCTCTTGACATATAATTCCAAATTGCCACTCAGAAAATTTGTACCAATTTATTCTTCCACCAGTAAATTATATGTCTGCCTGATTCCCCAACACTGGGAATCACCAATTAAAATTTTTATCTTTTTCCAATGAATACAGCAAATAGATCTTTCAGCTTCAACAGGCTTGCTATCATAATACAACCTAAATTCGTATACATCCATTCCTAAAAGCTCTCAAAAATCAAAATTTTAGGTTAGCAATTCTACAGGTGATTGTGTGATACAGAAGCCCTCACAACTGAAAACAACCTTGGTAGTTAAGTGTCTTTTACTTATTTTCAAGAATTATATTTAACTGTGAACTTAACTAAGGACTGTAATAACAGAAATACAACAGAATGAAAGTATACATAGACTGGAAATAATTAGCTCAAAGTTTCAGCTGCAACCTGAGGAATTTTCTATTTGCCTGCAGCAAAATCATTTATTTATTAATACTTCTTGATTAAATCACAGGAAATTTATTGGCTACATTTGGAGATGGAGTCACACTGTGGAATGACTTACTCACCAGTGGCTAAAGAACCCCTTCTGTACCTAATTACAGATGATACAGGATCTCTATCAACAACTTGCTTATCTTCACTGAAATAAGTTTAATGAGGATTAAGTGTAGTGATGACCTTACCAACTCCCCGGTCATCCACTGTGGGATTATCAATCCACCGCTGTGCCTGCTCAATCTTGCCCTCAAGGTGGACAGCTGCTTTGGCAGGTCTGCTGTTGGCCACAGCCTTGTTGGTTTTGGTCTGCAAGTTCTGTAGGGCCGTGGCCACCTGTTTGGCCAATGCTCGGGCCTCTGGGGAATCTCCTTTTCCCCTGCAGAGAAAAAAATAGCCATCCTGTCACACAAAGACACTCTTTACATTGAGATGACTTAATTGCTAATACAAATGCTAATGAGATGACAAACTGCTAATGATTATTATTAACTTGGTTTGAAAGGAGAGGGATTTATCTATTTGACCCTTAAATAAGAAATTAATAATATAAATTCTGATTGTTTTGCCTTGTTAAGACAGTTAAATATGTTGTAGTTAAATATGAGTTTGGTCAGTCTGGCTCAACCAAGCTCAACCATTTGGTAAGCTGAGCTCGATCAGTCATCACTAGGTTAGCTGACCCCTGAGACTGCCATCTCAAGTCTGACTCATTTTATATCTCAAGTCCACTAGGTCATAGAAAAGTAAACTTCAGGATAATCATATTTGGCTCACCGATAAAAATACAAATATTAGTCTACCTGACAGAATGACTAATTTAGATACTATCTTAAGAGTTCCTTTATGATTCTAAACTTTCATACTTTCTCCATTATAAAGCTGGAAAAGAAGGTAATTACTATGGTTCTGATCATAGCTACTCCTGCTGCCAGGAAGTTTTAGATAGACAGATAGATACATGGATAGATAGATTGATAGATAGATAATAGGAATAAGTAATGATGGCATGTGACCAAACTTGGCCTGCTGTTATCACTATTATCATTAATTCTTTCTTCATCATTAAGAAACATTAAGAAGTGCCTGCTATGTATATGGACTTGTGTTAGGATCCTGAGAACATAGTTTCCTCCTCTGAGTATTTTTAAATCTAGTAAAAATGTAAAGACTATATTAATTAGCTAATATTAATGAACAGAGACCAAAATTTGTAGACATATATTATTTTACAATTGTCCAATTATACATTTTCCCACCTACATAATTTTATATTGGGGGTATAAAATAGTGACCCCCCAAATGATTGAGCTTGATATAGAATCAAACTTGAGCTATTACTTAAGCTACTCTCTATCCCCACAACCTCCTGCCTAAAGTATGTCCACCCTGCTCCCACTCATTCCTATTTCAAGGTCTGAGGCAGAAGTTTGCTTTCTTAGCTAACGTTGGTCTCTTAGCCAATATAAAATTTGAAAGGACTCTAAAGTACCTCTTTGGAAAAAGGTTAGGCACTCTCCTGTGGAAGAATAGGGAGTGAAATACACAAGTTAAATGAAAAGTCAAATCTCACAAGATACTTGACTATGGTTATTCCTGGAGAAGTGACTGGAGGACTGAGGTGGGAGAGAAGCAACTCTTACTTTTGCTGTTGTACACTTTTTTAATGTTCTTTTAGCATATGATGCAGTTGTTGCTTTTTTAAGACAGAAAAATATCTTTCAAAAGGAGAAAGTGACACTTCTTTTCTATACAATCAAAGTAGATGCTATGAAAGCCTTATCTGTCTCACCGATTTAAACAAACAAACAAAAAATTCCCTTAAGAGAAGAACCTGCAGTGAGGATGTTATATTTAAGGATCTTTTATAATTGCTACATAAGAAGTAACACTGATGGTCAAGGAAGAAACTATCTTCTTATGCCTCCCCATCCCACCCCAACACACACACACACACACACACACACACACACACACACACACACACACACACACACACACACACACACACACACACACACACACACACACACACACACACACACACACACACACACACACACACACACACACACACACACACACACACACACACACACACAGCTTTTCATAGCTAGCCACAAAAGTTATTTTCCTCATATGCCTGGGAAACAGACAAGTCACAAACATGGTGTAGTAGTACGTCCTAGCTTAGAAATTTTTAAAAATGGATCTCAGGGATTTCCCTGGTGGTCCAGTGGCTAAGACTCTGTGGTCCCAATGCAGGGGGTCTGGGTTCAATCCCTGGTCAAGGAACTAGATCCTTCATGCCGCAACTAAAAGTTCGCATGCTGCAGCTAAAGATCCCACATGCCGCAACGAATACCTGGCACAGCCAAATAAATAAATTAATTAATTAATTAAAAAAATAGATCTCTTAAAAATATTTTTTAAATAGTTCTTAGTATCCTAAAATTATTAATTTAAAAACATCTGCCCTCACCACGTCACACAGAATCGATAAGAAGACAATGGAAGAGTATCATATGTGCATTTAACCTATAAATTTCAACTATATATGTGCTTAGGGGGGAAAAAGAGAGAGATTAAAGGACAATTTAATTGATTAAATACATACTGTCTTCGTAGATCTGCTAATTTAGAAGTCAGAGCAGATATTTCTCCAAGAGAACGTAGAATGTCATCTCTCTCTTTAGGATCATCACATAATTCTGCTATTTTCCGAGCTTCAGCCAAAGCCCCTCGAATCTGTTCTTCTCCTTCTGGTCCACCATTTGGATCTGCAAGCCAATTCTACACACACAGAAATAGAAAAGAAGCACACTGTGATCTACTCATGAACCAATTTTACTAAACTTAACAAGGCCATCAGAAATATTTCAAAAGTAATCATAAGGGTTTCCCTGGTGGCGCAGTAGTTGAGAGTCCGCCTGCCGATGCAGGGGACACGGGTTCGTGCCCCGATCCGGGAGGATCCCACATGCTGCGGAGCGACTAGGCCCATGAGCCATGGCCACTGAGCCTGCGCGTCCGGAGCCTGTGCTCCGCAACAACGGTAGAGGCCACGACAGCGAGAGGCCCACATACCGCAAAAAAAAAAAAAAAAAAAGTAATCATAAGGCATACCAGCAATTGTTTTTATAATGCTGATCCTTATTATTTTACATCAGTTCTTACTCAGGTAAAACCAAATCAATCCTTCAGCTATTTATTTATAGAGATATTAATATTTGCACGTGCGGCATGCAGGATCCTAGTTCCCAGACCAGGGATAGAACCCACGCCCCCTGCAGTGGAAGCTCGGAGTCTTAACCACTGGACCTCCAGGGAAGTCCCCCCTTCATCTTTTTTAAAATGATTTATTTCTTTCTCATTAGGATAAAATATCTTCATGAGCTTTAGCTTTGAATTAATCACACCTTATTAATTCTTCAGTTTCTTAAACATTTATGTTTCTTCATGAAATGCTTGAAAATCATTTTACAGTAGAGTAATATCAGAAAGCTTTAACCCTTTTACATTGCTATGACCAAACACGGTTGTGAATTCTGAGATGAAGAACAGGTTTAACATACTATAATCTCCATCAGGAGCTAGGAGAATGGTACTCAGAATGCTTACTTTTAACTAACTGAAGTATTCAAACTTAAGATCTCTATTTCAAAATATGGATAAGCCTGTGGTGGTAGGGGACGTGTTAACATTGGCAACTACTGTGTATCAGCCATCACTTAGAAACACCCATTATCCACCCAAAGAAAATTAGGGGGAGAGGGATACAGGATATTTATGGAACATTTCTCTTTCTCCTTTATTTCCCACCCTTGCTAAAAATCATCATCGCTACCTGAGCAGCATCAATCTTCTTCGCAATGCTCTGCTTTGAGTTGGTCATGGCTTCCAGCTTGCGGGCTGCATTTTCCACTTTTGCTGTGAGCACATCCAGACCCTGAGACACCTGCTGGGCTTTCTGCATGGCCACCGGTGAGGCTCCTTGTCCTCTGCTCAAACAGATGGATGCTGCTGTTGTACTCTCTCAAATTCTTAATGGCAAAATATTACTAAAAGCACAGTATGTTCTTTTACTAACATGTTTGTCCTTTTCCTTTTCTACTAAATCTGCGATAACACAAGGGAACACAGAGAGAGACAAAGCAAAACACCCAAACCATCTAACTTCTCCTTTGCTCTTAAAAATAATACACAGTAGCTTCAAGGAACTGCATAACCACTTTAAAGACCAGACTTGCACATTTTGATAATAATGATTTTCCTCTTGGTGGTGATTACATAATCAAACCTAATCTTCAGGGGGTAAATGTGCTTGTGATCTTATTGCTATGGAGGGTTTTGTTACCATAGTACGTATGCTTTAGAAATAAACAGCCCATTAGATTATCTTATTTATGGGCAAGTATACATTGAAAATGTTTCAGGAGGCAGCAAACATAGTGCTACTGAAAGCACACCACACTGGGACCAAGTAGATGTCTGTTCAAATCCTGGCTCCTGCTACCTGAGGAACCTTGGGTACAATGTGTAACTTCCTTGGGCTTCAGTTTTCTAACTTAGAAAATGAGGGGTGGGTAGGTAATAATACTGGCCCTGCTTATCAAACACAGTGGCATCAAGCAAAATGAAATACTTGAAAATACTTTGGCAATAAAGCAATACACATATGTGACTATTGTTACTACAGAATTGTCATTATCATAACCTAATGGTAATCTTAAATATCTACCTTCCACTCCTATGCAACCTATAAGTATCAAAACCAGATAGTACTGAGGGAAAAGGGCACACAGGGACAAGAAACCATTATTTCTCATCATGTTCCTAAAGAACTAATTTCACTATTTTCCTCTCTCAGAAGTGGTATGCTGCTACTACAAAAAAATGATGTGAGTTAGTAGAAATTTGTTTTCCCTTTGTAAGAGACTTCCCAGGTCATAGCAAAGTAAGATTTGCCATCTTTTTATACTCATATTTTTGAATCCACCTAGCCTGGTAAACTCAATGATAGGGGTGGCAACTTTATCATTTGGTTAAATGGAATGGCTGATCATCATAACCTGAGTTTCTGATTTTAGGATAAACTACAAAACATCTTTGCTTCCCTTAATAATAGTATGGGTGTGTCATTCATCTATCTATCCTTTTCTTAAATTTATATGTTTTTCATGTATACCAATATTTGAGGTAGTGAACTCAATAATATTTACTGCCAGGTATATATATATACCTTTTACTTGTACTTGACACCTCCCTTTTACATGGCAGAGGAGCCTAAGACTTTTGGAAATATACTTTTTATGTTTTAATTTGCTTTTTTCCTTCAAATTTAGTAATTCATTATGAGGAATGTTGTTTGTATAAGAGTCCAACTGTGAAAAAGTAAAAATAGTTATGGGCTGCATAATTTTTCATTCAAAATAAAAAGTTTGAGTACCATGGAGGGGAAAATATATACTTACAACCCTAGAAACTCTAGGTGACTGAATAGAAGAATACCAAAGAGGAAATTGTTACTGAGTTTCAGCCACTAAGCTGTTAGAAAGCTAGGCATATTTAAGAAAGGATAACAAGGAGACAGCTTTGTAATATTTCATTGTGAAAGGCTATTGCAGACTCCAGTGTGAAGCAGGCCCATTGGGGCTCCTCACTGTTCCAACCTTTTCTCTTTACAGATTTATGGTCGATCCTGTACAGCAACTACCTCGTTCTCTTGCTCAGATTCATCTTTCTCTAAATACATACAACTGTGTATTTGAGAATTCCAACTGAAAACTGTCTACCACACTGTGAAAAGGCTGCAGACAAAAGAGCCAGCAGTGAGAAATTAGAAGAGCCAAGAATCTTGTCAAACTGCACTGGCATTTCTCCAAATGGGAACAGAACTTCTTTTTTGTCCTTTCCGTAAAGTTCTTGGCATACTCATGGCAGAGGAGACTGCTTCACAGCAAGAGAAAAGGCCCACTGCACTCAATGAGATCACATTTATTTATGCTGCTCCTTCTTCCCTTTAAAGTAAAGGCTCTTAACCTGAAGCCCGTGGAGCTTCCAGGGCTACAGTGAATCCATGAACCTCTGGAAATTACATATAATATTGTATGGGCATGTTTATATGTATCTTTTTAGGTAGAGATTAATGGCTTTCATCAAATTATAAAAATGACCTTGGTCCAAGAAAGGTCAGGAACCACTCCTTTAAGAACTATATTCTTGGGCTTCTCTGGTGGTGCAGTGATTGGGAGTCCGCCTGCCGATGCAGGGGACGCGGGTTCGTGCCCCAGTCTGGGAGGATCCCACATGCTGCGGAGCGGCTGTGCCCGTGAGCCATGGCCGCTGGGCCTGCGCGTCGGGAGCCTGTGCTCCACAGCGGGAGAGGCCACAACAGTGAGAGGCCCGCATACCGCAAAAAAAAAAAACTATATTCTTAAGTCCATTATGTTAATACATTTGAGGCTAGGTGTAATGTGCAACACGTCAAGGCATGTTCCTGAAGCCTTAGTTTGTAGGGAGACCTTATACTGTATTCCAATTATCTCAAGATGTTTCATGACAATCTTGAAGCAAAATTAAATTTCATTTATACTAGTGTGTCATCATACCTCAATTTTTCACAATGTCCGTACTATAAAATTCCATAAAGATGAAAATCTTTTAGAACTTCATTAACTATATGTATGAATTCCAAACAAACCTATATTATACTGAGTTTTCTTAATAGCAAACTATACATATTTAATTTGGGGGAATGGGGGTGGATCCTAAAAGCCAAGACTTGAGGTGGGTAAGAGATAGGTAAAAGAATTATAAAACCAAATGAATAATAATGAAATAGAAACTCAAAAGAGCCTAGAAATGACCAACATAGAGGATAATCTATTTAACTGATTTTTAAAATGACATGTGAAATAATTCCAACGTTTTCACTCTTTATGTTTTTTTTCTAACCAGCCTTCATAAAAGATATCTATGCACCTTATTTTTCATAAGCCTATGGCTAGAAACTAAAAAAACAGATTTCTATTTCAATTTCAACTTTACGATAAGGCATGTACATATTTTAAAAGTTCAACAAAAGGAAAATTCACTCCAATCTCAAAAGAATTAGTAGAATATAATATCTACGTTATCTATTAGCCAAAGAGAACTCAGTAAAATTCACAGAAACTTGCTTTCTGAATCACTCCAACAGGAGCGAGATCCCAACTGTTACCACTACTGCTCTGGTGAGAGCAGAGGAACTTTACCTGGCTCGGAGGTCAGCCACTTGATCAGTCATCTGCCCTAGCATTTTGCAGGTTCCCAGGATCTCCCTGCGTTCTTTGCCTGCACAGAGTTCACCAACTTTTCCAGCTTCATCTAAGATCTGTCTGATGGCCTGTTCACCAGCATCACCTAAAACAAAGAGATTTTCAAGGGAGTTCCCTGGTGGCCTAATGGTTAGGATTCCAGGCTTTCACTACCATGGCCTGGGTTCGATACCTGGTTGGGGAACTGAGATTCCTCAAGCCAGGTGGCGCAGCCAAAAAAAAAAAAAAGAGAGAGAGAGAGAGAGCTGTTCAATATCTACATTGTTGATCCATTAATTATTTAGAAAGGATGCTTTACAAGTCATTTCATTCATGAAGGAATGGATGGTTTTAAATGACAAGTGAATAGAAGGCAATACATCTGATAGCTAACAGCCGAGCACTGCCCTTACAACCATAGGGTGAGGTTTTAACCACAGAGACTGCTCAAAAAGATCCTTGGAACCATACCCATCTGGAGATAATAAGCAGTTTGTGGTAAGCATGTGAATGATGAAAGTGGGCTCTAACAATTCAATAGTACTCAATGCCTCTAAACTCCATGAGGCTTTTCACATTCATTCAAATATTAATCTAAAACTGAATAAATATTAGATTAGAAAATCCATAATGCCTAGCTCAATAACCTATTTGGGTCTTATCTTTATACAAGTCAACTTTGCTTCCCAATTCTTGTTAGCATCATCATTTTATCTGCTTAATTAAGTACTCTGTTGACGTAAATGGAAATCTGCCCAACGGGAACTAAAAAAGAAGAGCTTTCATTCAAAATAATTACCTTTCTGATTCAGGGAAGGGGTGAACCAATAATTTGGCAAAGAATGCCCAGTTCACTTTGCTTTATTCCTCCGTGATGAGAGGTAGTCTATGCCCTTCATCCTTTTAAGGACCAGTAATACTTCAATTAGTCAAAACTATCAGAGAATGGAGTATGCCCGTAAATGTTGCAGTAGTTATCTCAGGATTATGACATTATGAAATGATTTTTCTTTTTTTTTTCTTTTTCTTTTGTTTGCCTGGTTTTTAGCTTTTTGCTGTTATCTATCAGAAAAGTAGAACCAGAGGGTTACCTGGGGAGGCACTGGGGTCACGGAGCCAACCTTTAGCCTGGTTCAGTTTGGAGTCTATGGAGGCCAACGCTCTCTTCATGGCTTCAGTGTCCTTTTGAAGAAAAATACCACAAGTATTTTCTTTGCAAAAACTAAGATACCATGATACAAAGTAAGACAGAGAAGTTACACCATTAACATACAATAGCTACAGTAGTCCTACAACAGCCTTAAAAATATTCTCATCACACCACAACGCTTATTTCTATCAAAATGCAGCATCTTGCATGCAAATCTTCAGTTAATTCTGTTTCCTAGTCTCCCTATTGCTAAACTGTGAAAACTGGTAAAAGTGCTCAAGCCAAAAGATGTTCAATGTCTTCAGCCGGAAAAAGCCCTCTTGTCACATGCCTCATTACCAGCCTTTCCACTAGTCAACAATCATCTACTGCAGCCCTGCCAAAGCTTTCCCGGCTTCAGGGAAGCCTCATTAGCATGTGGCACCACAAACCACAGTTCTTCTACATCTTGTTTTGAAATATACACACACTGCTTGATGTTTCACTATGTTTAATCTGAAAAACCTGGAATTACTGGCTGGAAGAAAACTGAAAATTTTAATCTAGCAATTCAGTTTTAATTCCACAAATAAACCACCAAATGTAATACAAGAAAGAAATGTCTTTCGGGCCTTCCCTGCCACTCCTCATCCTTAGTTCCCTTACCGTCCCTAATCTGGAAGAAGAGGCAGGATAAAATAAGTGGGTCTCCATTTATTGTTTACAGTCAGGATTCATAATGACTTGCATAAAACTAGCATAAAATCTCCCAGGATATAGCATGAGAAGTCCAAACAACAGACTAATCACTTTTAAAATATACATATGTTTTAATAAAGTTTTTTAAGTAAATAGATATACAGAAAACAATATAACAAATATGCATGTACCCATCCTCACAACTGACAGATTGGCCACCTCTTAAGTCTATTTAACACCTTAAAAGACAGCCTCTCTCCCTTTTGCTTAGGGAACTGGCTCTTACAGAGTCCATCCATCAAAGCACAGAGTTAACCTCTGAAACTCTAGGCAACGCCTTAAATTCCTACCTTTTTTCAATTTCCAGTCCTGCAAACCGGGGTTCTTCAAGGTGTGGTGCCACCAGTTTTCCACATGGGGGCACTAGGAGCATCCCCACTTCCAATTCAAACAAAACCCAGCAGCAGCACCAATAAGCATTGGGAGCACTCATAATTAGGCTTAAGGTCAGCAGCCTGACCCCAGCTTTTTCCAAAGTACCTATTCAAATTACAAGACTCTCAGCTTTGGACTCCCTCTTTCCCCAGCTAAACAGATACAGATTTGGCTATCTAAGGCTCTAAATAACAAATTCTCAGCCATGGCAACTGAAAAGAAGTGAACTAAATTACTGAAAAAATGGAAATAAAATATTTTTATTATCAAGTTATATGAAATTATGATAGCTATCTATCAATAAAAGGCAGTCATAAGAGGATCTATTTCAAAATCCATCTGTAATTAGTACTGTAAGTAGACAAGTGGCATTTTTTAAGTGCTTTGATTCTCAACTGGTTTAAATATTTGCTCTTCCTTCATCGAGTTCAAATTAATCTGTACAGCAAACTTTGTCTTCAAAAGTCAACTGTAGCTTAATTCCAAATTAGCAAGGCCCAAATCAATATCTTTTAAAAGAGAGTCGCAGGCAACACCCAACCTCAGAGAGTCAGATAGCCTTTAAGGTCTAATACCAGTTATAGGACTTTGTCTAGATACAGATTTTAAAAAAAATTCATGATCTCTCACCTAGGAAGTATTGTGCACATTCTGAAGAAGAGAAATTATAGCCATGGAAAAATACTTAATTTAAAATCTATTAATAACCATTTCTCTAATACACTTATATTTTCAGTGAAAATAAAAACCATAGATACTTATTTCAAAAATCTCAATTCAAGGGGAAACAAAGATCAGAAATTTTTCAGTGTCTATTCTAGCATTAAAGGCTACTAGTTAGGAAACTAATCTTAATTGAGCACTTCTTACATGTTAGGTTCTATTTTAGGCATTTTTTCCCTCATTGCTTCATTGAACTTCAATTTTTAATGTAATTTAATTTTATAAATTAAGGGGCTCAGTCATAGAAACACAGTTTGATCTCAAACCTCATTATTTTCTATTAGATGAAATTCAAGAATTTTTTTCTTTTACCAAAGAGAGTTGCCAAAGATTTCACTAACCTTTTACAGTAGTCAGCAAATCTTTTGCCTTGCCAATTCTGGCTTGGTTAATACTGCCCAGAAAATTAGCTCTACAAATCAAATTCATAATCCTCACTAACCTAAATAACTGCTTTTATTCTCCACTCCACCAAAATGATTTGAAACACAATAGAAAAACTAGTTTTGCTCTATTCAGTATCCTCAAAAGTCACTGCTTTTTTCTCCCTAATAAAGCGTGGTCACCATGCTTCAAGGAAAGAAACTGATTCTCAGGATGTGACTAATTTAGTCCTGAGTATGAGATGTGAGAATATCAAGAACTTAACATTAAGAGATGCTCATTTTCTCCTAAAAATAATCAATGGCAAATTTGCAATGAAGCTGCATTTTTACACTGGGAATTTCAATTAGTTACCAAAGTTTTTAATAGCATGAATTTTAGACAATTTTGGAGATTTAAAACAGTCACTGAGAGAGCCACCTTAAACTCTTTCTGGAATAGAGCAAATTGTAAAGAATCATTTAAACACAATACATTTTAATGTCATATCTATTAAAAGCAAAAATGTCTATGGGAACAAATATTTTGGTCTCCTAAGAATCTCATAAGAATATCTTTTGAAGGGCAGTGTTTGTTATGGAATTGACAGAATTCTGACATAAGCAACAAAAGAAGTATACTAACACTGGCTATAATATAAACAAATTCAATGAACAACTAGGACTAAGAAGCAATTTTGAGATATATTTATAAAGGGTAAAAATAATCATAACTCTGGGGTCAACTACACTATGTACCATAAAGCTTTTTGTTAAACCTTGTCATGTAGGTCTAAGTACTCAGAATACACTCTGGGTATGAAATAGAAGAGAAAAAAACTGTACCCTCAATAAGTACTATTCTCTGTAAAATCTCAAATTTGGGAACAAGAAAAGTCTCCACCAATCTCTTCTCTGTTTTTGTTGTTGTTGTTGTTGTTCTTTTTTTTAAAGAGTGAATATAAAAAAGACCAGATCTAGTCATATACCTTTGGGGACAGCTGTCAGGGATCTGATACCCTACTGGCTCTGGTCCCTTTTACAGTAAAACTCTGATGAGTTCAGGTTTTAAATGAGAAAAACCATAGTGCCTTGGCACTCTGCCACATATACCAAAAGTCAGAAGGACAACCTAAAAGACTCCTTTTTACATGCTTTTCCAGGAACTGAAACACTTCTGAAATTTAATATAAAGTCAGACCTAAAGTACACTGAATAATACCAAAAACCACTGAGTTCCTCCCACAGACAATCAAGAGGAACTGTGGCAGGGAAAGTGAGCTTCTCTGTTCCCAGGCTCTTGAAAAATTTAAATTTGGGACTAAGGACCCCCTCTCATTCACTGCCCAAGCTACTCTCCCTTTTCCACTAACACCTCCAACCCCCACCCTTCAGCCCATTCCTGACCACTTTTCTACCCTCAAGTCCATGTTTTAAACAAAGATGTTTTTGGAAAGATAAATCGGGCCGTAGAACAAAATCTTATAAGCTACATTTAATCTTGGAGAGAAAGTCATCTAGCCCTGAGCCTTCAGGCAAGCTACCCTCCCAGGCATCAGTTCCTCATCTCCAAGAATACCTTCTCAGTGCTTCTGTGCCACCTATGCACACACAATCAGTTATACCAACTAAAAGATCACTTGGATCAGAAGGGAAATGTCAATTCCCGTAACATGTTGGGCTTTTCTCCTTTGGCTGGGGGGGAGGATAAAATATTATAAATGCCTAAATTAACTATTTATCTCAAACTCCAAAAGATAAATCCTTTGTTATATTAGCTGCATACTAGAATACTAAAACTAATACTGCATAATAGAATACTAAAAGACTCATAAAAAGCTAATATATAACCTTATTTTTTTCAAAACTGAAATAAAAATCAACCCTTAAATCCTCAATTGTCTGCAGTAAGGGCAAGTTATTATAGGACTGCATGTTCTAACCAGTATTTCCTTCTTTGGTAGCCTAGAGTAATCTGTGCAAGACATCTGAGTCACTCACTACATTTACCCACCACCAACCTAGGCCCACCGTGGGAGGAGTCACACCACAGGGACAAAATCTGAATAATAGTATCTAATGACTCAAGATGCAGTTACAGGAACACCTACATAGGGTTCAAAAATTCTTAGCAATGAAATGCTTTTTAAATTTTTTTCACTTCCTCTTTATTCTCAGCATACATCAAGATACAAGTAATATAAATACCAAAAAAAAAAGAGATTAAATATAGATTGCTAAATTTACAAAGGGTAAAATAAGAACTGTGTTTAAACCCCAAATTCTTTTGTCTCATAATGTATTCCCAGGAAAAATGCTAAAATAGTTTTTAATAATCATTATGATTGTTGATTTAGGAGGGGAAATTTTTTATTTTCAAAATAAAATGAAGTGTTTAAAGTCAAAGTACTTATAAATTTGTAAATCTGCCATTTGAATGTAGGTATAAAACGTAAAATAATCAGCTATTGCATTGCCTCTTTAAAATCTTAACTTATTCGGCAAGACGTACTTTTACCAAGAATTTTTTCCACTTACTTTCTTCCCCCACTTTTCTAGAGGAACCATCACTTTCCAGGAGAAAACTGCACCAGTGGGGAAGCATGAAACAAGTATGGTAAGACAAAGTTAATTCTTTATTGGTAGGGGTGAGAGGAGGTAAAAGATATTGTATGTATTAAACAGAATGGGAACCCAGGGGTCACAGACAGACACAAGGTCTGATTAATTCACTGCTTACTGTTGAGCAATGAAAGATGCATAATGCTACTAAACTGAAAAATAACCAAACCCTAGTTACCAATTTCCATTTTCAGGGTAAAATTTTTTCTAAATATTCTTGCAACTAATAAAAACAATTACTCTTAGGGGGTAATGGAGGTAGAGTGGATAGGGATGGGGATGAGAGTGAGCTGTGTCACGCATATCCTTTCATAGCATTTTTTCAATATTTATTTATTTGTTTGTTTATTTATTTGGTTGTGCCAGGTCTTAGTTGTGGCTTGCTGGCTCCTAAGTTGTGGCATGTGAACTCTTAGTTGCAGCATGCATATGGGATCTAGTTCCCTGACCAGGGATTGAACCCAGGCCTCCTGCATTGGGAGCACAGAATCTTAGCCACTGCACCACCAGGGAAGTCCCTTTATAGCATTTTGATATTTGAATCAGGTAAATGTAAAACAAAAGCAAAATGAAGTTAAAAAATAAACATTTCTTGCTCATTCTGATGTCATTATGTACTTAAGCTTCTTTTAGCTGAACTAATTTTATTTATTTCTTTTCATTCTGATAGTTTTACAGCATCCTAACAGTCTGGTTCCTTCCAAATCAGCATAAAACTGAGAGAGCTATTAGACTGTACACAGTGGTGACCAGGTTTATATTTCCCTTGTATATGCCCCCAAATGCCTAGTCTTCCTCCTGAAAAACTCAACTGACCACAGTTTTGGTTTTGGTTTTGGTTTTGGTTTTGGTTTTGGATTTTAAAGAAGCAGCTCTCAGCACTTGCACAAAATAAAGTTCAGTCACACTTAAGTTACTAATTGATGGATGACTTTTCCCCTCCAAAAATAGAGAAACATTAAGGTTGCAAGGCCTGCTTTTCTTTTTTACTATTTCTCATCTGCCAGAAGCAAAGGGAAGAGAATAAGGAAAGAGATTAGATTAGGGGAACATGAGATCATGGAGAACGACGGCTGATTCACAGCTTAGATAGCAGAACATGCAGTGAGCCAGGTACTGAAGTTAGGAAAAACTTTAGGTACACCTGACTTTTTTCCTTTTGATTTTTAATGGAAGGATTATTGTGAAGGACAGGTGCCCCATCTAGACTCTCTAGCCTACCCATTTTCATTATGGCTTAAAACCTCAATGATGCATCTCCAAAAGTCAAATTCCAGAGCCTGCAAAGGAAACTGGTAGGAGAGGCAAATACAGAGATAGCAACAGCTGGAAGTTTCCTTTCCTAAGAGCAAGGTCCACTGGTAACTTAGGGGTCACCCAGCTACCTGGGGAAATCTGCCCCTCAAATGAAGTCAGTGGGAATGACCAGACTAAAACAGTTCCCAGGAGCCTGCTCAAAGAGAGGAAAGCACCCACCAAATATAGAAAGCCTGACATCCCATAGTAATGTCTTTCCTTTTGCTTTCCGCAAAGAAACAGCTCCACATGAGCCAAACAGTCTGCCCAGCACAGCCCCAAGTCCTGTATTAAGTCAAATTCTGACGCATATTCAAGCACAGTGTTACACACCGGCACACGGAATGAGGCACGGCACACAGCACAAGAAAACCTCACAGACATGCTTTTTCTCTTTTTAAGCAAAAAAGAAACTAGAGGGCAAGAGAAAGCTTACCTTCTAAACGTGAGAAAAAGAATAAAACAAACAAGAGAACAAAAAAAAAGATGCATAAAGAAGTCATAACAGGGAAGTGAAAGTTATCAAATGTGCAAAAGCAAAATTAAGTAAAATATCAAAGACGTTACATGATTTTACAATATGGATTTAAAATACAGTCTTAGAACTTGTTCAAGAACTTCATGCCTCTGAAAACAAATCCATAGTTAAGATAAGCTGACTAATTTCTCCTCCACTCTTAGTTTAACTTTCTGGTCAACAAAGAGAGACTGTTGATTTTAGCCCCAGCTTCGACCTTACCTTATAGGTGTCCTGGAGGACAAACAGAGCCCTACTGGGCACCCAGTGGAAATCATACTACAATATCCCCTCTGTAGTCTGCCACCAGCCTGCTGGGTGGCCCTGGAGATAGCATTTGGGTGCACACAGTGGGGGAAGCTGGATCCTGGAGACAATGTGTTCCCCCCACTGCCTGCATCTTGGGCTCCTACAAGGGAAGTGTAAACCCAAGTGTCTCTGTTCCCAATCACTAGACAAGAAGCAGACCACAGCAGCAGCACCTCAAACCACCGCTGCTGGGCTCTAGGCAGAATCCACCAACCCTTCTGGAATTCAAGAGGAAATTCTAGACCAAGGGTAAAGGGACCCCTCAAACTAACTGACAAACGTGAAAACTAATATTTCAGTTAAGCCCTCTTTAGGGAAAACAGAATGATGAAGGGACACACCTAGAAATGTCAAGCGTTTCCTTTGTAGATTTCTCTGGGTCAAAAATTGGTTAAGAAAAGTTTTCCATAAAATTCAATCACAGGCATATTCTGTATCTTACTTAGTCACCTAGCAACAACCACCCACATGAAAGGCAGGGCTCCCACCCAGGGGAGTATACACCACACCAGAATTCCTCCACCAGCCCAATCCATGAGACTCCAGCTTGAAGGAAAAGCTACATCTTAGCTTTCAACCAACATTCACCCTGCATACCTATTTGTTTGTTCTACCTCAGAGCAAAGGAAAAGTGCAAAAACAGGAAGTAACCCATAACCCTTTATTTTACAAAAGTAAAGAAGAAAATACTTTCATAATATCTAAGTAGTCTTATGCTACACACAGTTACAAGAAAAAATGTGAGACAATCACATCCCCAGGAAGGGAAAATTGGGGATTTTGCTTATTGCTCCCCCAATAACACTTACCTTGCTGGCCCAGGCATCTTCGTCCCAAGAAGTGAGTTGTAATACACGAATGATCTCATTAATTTCAGCGCTCATCTTTTCTACAGTAAAATTACGATTTTTCAAAGCTTCTTCAATTCCTTGGTTTTTTGAGTTTTTAGTTGTTACAAAAATCTTCATAGCTGTAAAAATAAACAAAAGATCAGAAACAAAGCCTGGAATTTAATCTTGCTGTATTACAATATTCACACCAGATGTTCCACACTGTGAACATGTCTGGGGCTTCTAAGGTCTTAAAAAAGAATATGAAAACAAACACTGCAAGTCTGCCATTAAAGTTCCAGTATCAGCAACCTTCACTGTTAAGAAAGCTCAAGGTACAAAACATCACCACATCATGATCAGAAAACTAATTTAACATGCATATACTGAAGATCCACAGTCACAAAATATCCACCATCCTTCTAAATCAATTATCATCCCAGCCCTAACACTGGCCCCATCAAACACAAACCTAATGTGACAAGATAAAAACAGTCAGTAAAACTGTAACCAAAGAATGCTGCCTGACCCAATCCTAGTGGAAGATCCCAAAGTGTTGAGTTTATCTTCCATGATTTATCTTAATATATAGCAGGGACTATCTAACCCCTAAAAGTGAAGAAGAAAATAATAACGGACACTAGATAATAACACTAAATAATAACACTAGAGAATATCTTCTTATAAACTAACTAAAATTATAAAAACAAAGATTAATCAACACTTTATTGAGTTATCCAGATTAAAAGAAAGATTCTTCCCAACAACCTTTCTGCCATATGGAACAGTTAGTCTCAAAAACATATTTTTGAGAAGATTATAAGGCACTATTTACAAATTTTTGTTTTCTAGTTCATGTAAGGGCTTTCTGAACTCTTACACTCATATCTCCTATTTTAGCTACTACTTGGAATTACAAAGCAGGAAGGCAGTAGCTGGCGATTACAGTGACATGCCTTGTAAAATTTTGAAAATAAAGCTGCCCTCTGAGACTTAAACCAACTAACCCACAACTTGGCAAAGATAATTTACATAAACCATGAGATGTCTGGTACATACTGGACACTCAATAAGTGCAACTCCCTTTTGCTAGTTGAGAGAGCAGCCACCATGTTTGCATTTCTGGGCTCTGCCCAATGGGAACGTGGTCCTAGTTGGTGTACACCACCTGCTCTTCAACGTAGAGAAGAGTTAAATATCTTCTAGGAAAGAGCTGTGGGTTCACTTCCTTACTATACAGTGCTCTATAATATCCATTCCAGCTCCTAATTGTTTTTTCTGAGTACAAATAAAGGTGTCAAAATCCATACATCCAAAACTAGTATTTCTAGAGGAGAAAAGGGCCTGTTAGAACTTGAAGAGAACAGTATGAGGCAACAGGAGAGCAGTTTCAAACAAAGAGCAAGAGAAGGAGAGCATTAGAGAAGATAAATACTGGTTCTTAGCTAATCAGCTGCATTTTTACTCAGGCTGAAAGACATGCAACTAAACAGCAAAAGAAAATAAACACCAGAGTTTAGAACATGTTAACATGTTTTTTTTCTGTAAGATAAAGTACAGACAGAAAATACCTGAAATGAGAACTGGCAGCAACTCTTTCACGGTGTTCATTGAGTTCACCAACATCACTCGGTGCTCCTGGTGAGTCAGTTCCTGCTGCCTCTCATCAATCATCTTGGCCATCTTAGTCATTCCTGGGGCACAGGGAATAAATTGTGCAGAGTGAGCCGTGAAACAATCCAGAGTCTGGCTTTCTGAGCCTAAATCCATTATGAATTACTGTGAAAGTCCAAACTGACTGTCCACTTATTTAAACAACAGATACTATCACTGAACACTAGCATTTATGACATAAAATTTTTCAGGACAGTTCTAAATTAATGCAAGTTTATTCTTCTCTTTAAAAGCAATTTATTAAATATAAATCCTAAACGTGACATAATTTTCACACATTTGACATAAATACATTCACAAATATTTTTTAAATGTTGCAATTAGTAAATATATATTTGAAAAACAATTCACAAGTGGGGGGGAAAAATACTTTGCCTGGCTACCATACCAGCTTTCATGCCATGTACCTGGCCACTGAACCTATGTGTATATGAATCTCACGTGAGCCTAGTACAGGCACACCTCAAAGGTACTGCGGATTCAGTTCCAGACCACTGCAATAAAGTGAATATCATAATAAAACGAGTCACAGGCATGTTTTGGTTTCCCAGTGCATATAAAAGTTATGTCTACACTATACTGTAGTCTATTAAGTATGCAATAGCACTATGTCTAAAAAAACAATGTACATACCTTAATTTAAAAATACTTTATGCTAAAAAATGCCAACTATCATCTAAGCCTTCAATGAATCATAATCTTTTCAGTAGTAACATCAAAGATCAGTGATCACAGATCACCATAACAATATAATAATAATGAAAAAATTTTGAAATATTGTGAGAATTACCAAAATGTGACACAGAGACATGAAGTGAACAAATGCTGTTGGAAAAATGGCACCAATAGACTTGCTTGAGACAGGGTTGCCACAAACCTTCAATTTGTAAGAACGCAGTTATGTGTGAAGCACAAGAAAGTGAAGCAAGGTGTGCCTGGGCTAAGAAATTAGCGGCTGAAAGAAATCTTAAGAATTACAATAACGTGTTTTGTTTTCATCTTTAAATTTTTCTGTACTTTCCAACTTATCCAAAATAAGGATGTATCACTATTATAATTAGAAACAAATAAAAATAATTATGGGGGCTTCCCTGGTGGCACAGTGGTTAAGAATCTGCCTGCCAATGCAGGGGACACGGGCTCGATCCCTGGTCTGGGAAGATCCCACATGCCACAAGCAACTAAGCCCGTGTGCCACAACTACTGAGACTGCGCTCTGGAGTTCATGTGCCACAACTACTGAAGCCCGCACGCCTAGAGCCCGAGCTCCGCAACAAAAGAAACCACTGCAGTGAGAAGCCCGCCCACCGCAACGAAGAGTAGCCCTGCTCGCCACAACTAAAAGCCCACGCACAGCAATGCAGCCAAAAATAAATAAATACAATAAATTTTTAAAATAATAATAATTATTATTATGGTGATGACAGCATTTGAAAGCATCTGGTGTTTTGGAGTTAGCATGCTAGCACTTTTTGTTTACTTTGGTAATTATTCAAGGGTACTATGTGATTCTCTAACACTTTCGTTTTCAAACTGCTCTTAGAATTTCTTAAGCAGGTTCACAGATCGTCAAGGGGCACCCAAAGGGAGATGGAAAGGGTGGGGCTGCCTCTGCTTCATCCAGAGTAGCTCCATTTCTGTCTTTTATATGTTGGGATTCTGCAAAGATTTTTTTTTCATTATTTCATTAGATTTTTTTATTGAAGTATAGCTCATTTACAATATTAGTTTCAGGTATACAGCATAGTGATTCAGTATTTTACAGATTATATTCCATTAAAAGTTATTACGAGGTAATGGCTGTAATTCCCTGCTATACAATATATCCTTGTTGCTTGTCTATTTTATTTTTTAATTGGAGTATAGTTGCTTTACAATGCTGTGTCAGTTTCTGCATATATCCCCTCTTTTTTGGATTTTCTTCCCATTTAGGTCACCAGAGAGCACCGAGTTCCCTGTGCTATACAGTAGGTTCTCATTAGTTATCTACTTTATACATAGTAGTATATATATGTCAATCCCAATCTCCCAATTCATCTGCATAAGATTTCATTTGAAGAAATAAAATTTCTTCACAGTGCTAGGAGAAAGTTTAAAGGGTACTGCTCTAAAGCCATTTCCCAGCGATTTTCAATGACAGCTCAGAGAAATTCTAAACTGCCTTAAGTTTACAGGATGACTGCACTGAAACCTCAAGGAAATACATTTTATGTAAGACAAAAGAATTTTATAAGATAATATGTGATTCTTAATATTAACAAATTAAACATCTGATATGTCTTGTCATTGGTCTCATTCATACTTTAAGGAGCCTCAAGTTCATGTTATATGCCTATAACACCAAAAGCTGGTATCTGTTCATGTATTTTGAATACTGAATTCTCAGATGACTACACAATCAGAGATTTAGCCACAGAAGTTCTTCTCTCCTTCTAGGTCTGATTATATTATGCAGCCTTGGGCAACGGCATGAATCCATAATAGTAGGCAGGCTAATTAGCAAGCTAAGAGGTCACAGAGCGCTACAGGCCAGCTGGCAGACAGTGAAGGAATGCTGTATAATGTGGAATGAAGAGGTCAGGATTCAGGGTGGCCTTAAGCACTGCAGTAATAGGAAATTATTTCCTACATTCTCCAGCAACGTTTGCAATGTCTAGTTTAGTTTATTAGACAGGGCCAGGATCTGTAGAAAGCAGATTCAGCTTTCAGAGACAATGATATCTCTTCAGTAGAAGCACAGAGTCAGCTCCATCAACAGAGTAGAGACAACTAAAAGTTCAATGCATCATTACCTATCTCCCACAAAAAAAGTAGGGAGGAGTACCCCTTTCCTCTTGATCAAACATGGACAATCCATAAAAAATTCTGTTATAAAAGTAGGATATGACTAACCTGGTCCAAGATTCTTTGTGTAAGTGACCAAATCTTCCATAGTTTCCACCACCTCTGCCACTGTAAGATATTCCAAAATTCCTTTGCAAACTCTAATAATTTTACGAACCTGAAAATATATTTCATAGTATTCAGTCGATTGAGTAAACGATAAGTAGAAAACACAATAATTCAGATGTGTAGCTAGTCAACATTTTGTCATCCTAAACAATCCTCAATCCTCCATTATTATCTTTTAAGGCTGGGCTTTTTGTCTGGAAGAGGTCTGCATGGGCCTCAGGTTGTCTACCTCAGCCTCGTCGAAGGTGAGGAGCAGGTCTGATGTGCCGGAGAGGATGCCCCTTGATCCATCAATTAGATAATCTCGAGCAGGCACTGAGTAAGGGTCTGACTGAAGCATCTGGGCTGCCTGGACAAGCTTGGTGCAAGCATTCTCCACCCTGTGGAGAGGAACATGGAGTTAACTCACTGGCAGAACCAAGCAGAAGAATATCACATGCAAATGCAAAGAATGTAAATGGCCATAAATTCACATTTTTTTCCTATATGGAAAATAGCCAAGACCAATTTATAATAGAACCTAAGTTTCCAGCTTTTAAAATTTACAATTAAGGGCAGCACATTCTTTCATTCACTGCACTAAGCCCTTGTTCTTCATTATTTCCTGGCAACAAAAAATAATGAGAAAAAGTTTTGGACCCTTTACTTTAGGTTGCTATATCTCTGTAACTCCTTTGTTTCCTTCCTGTTCACCCTACATACACTGGCATTAAAAGACACTTACACAGGGCTTGCCACACAGGGCTTGCCACACAGGGTTTCCCTGGTGGCGCAGTGGTTGGGAGTCTGCCTGCCAGTGCAGGGGACGCGGGTTCGTGCCCCGGTCCGGGAGGATCCCACATGCCGTGGAGTGGCTGGGCCCGTGAGCCGTGGCCGCTGGGCCTGCGCGTCCGGAGCCTGTGCTCCGCAGCAGGAGAGGCCACAGCAGTGAGAAGCCCACATAACGCAAAAAAAAAAAAAGACACTTACACAAAGAACTGATATCCCTGACAACAGTTTCAGATTCAACATTGGAAATAAAATACCAAAGCACTGTGTTAAGTGAAATTTAATAATCAGACAAACCAAAGAAATAGGAGGAAACACAAAGCAAAAGTATGAGGTAATGCATAAATTTTTTCTTTCATCTAGCCAAATGGATTTGTTTGACAAACTGGACAGTTTGAAAACAACCCTATAAAACTATGCTGTTAATTAAAATGTCACTGGCATTAATAACTGAATCAGTTAGTAATAGTTTAATATAATATAGTTTAATAACACAGATGACTCAATCAGCCAAAGGTGTCTTTTTTTTGCGGTCGGGGGGCAGGTCATTTAATAAAGGAACCCGAAATGCATAAAGCAAGTATTCTCCTTGACCCTGCTGTACTACTAAAATGTATTTATTCATTCAATTATTCTTCTGTACAGAGTTGAAAAGGACTTAACAGATCATTTCCTCATATTCAGTAAATCCATTATGTTATCACTGAGTAACTTACATGCAACAAATTACTTTAAGTTAAAATATTTAGCCAAAATTACACATTCTTACTTGAAAACACAGAAAATGTCCCATGCAGATAAAAGCCCACTTCACAGCGAGTTATATCAAATGAAATAATATAAAAACTCAACAAGTATAACACACACAGTCTTGTTAAAAAATAGAATTAAACCAACATATCAATTTCAACTACATAAAAAGCACTGGGCTATGGACACTATAGGTATGTATATAAAGATGCAAAAACACTATTCTAACTCTCAAGAAGCATACTTTGGTAATTCACAAACTTCAGAGCCATAAGGCAGCACATAATAAATATCAGCGAAGAGCAAGACCTCACTGGCGTGGCTTTTGATCAGCCTTAGATGACTGGTTATTTTCTGTTCCTTTTAAATTAAAATTAAAATTAAATTTGAAATTATATAACATATATATATATATATATATATATACCCATACATATGACAAAATCATATACACATACATAAAACCCTAAGGCATACAGTGAAAATTTTTCTTCCCTCCACTATCTCCTAGGCATTCAAATTCCATCTACTTGCAGCCAATGTTATGTGTTTCCTCTGTATTCTTCAAAATAAAGACACTTTATGCACAAAGAAACAAAAACATAGGGTTCCACCATTTTTACACAAATAGGATCATACTATGCATACTCTCTGCATTCTGATTTTTTCACTTAATTTAACTTGGAGATGTTCTAGTAGAAGTACCCAAGGAGCCTCCTCATTGTTTTATACAGCTACATAACTAGTCCCTAATTTATTAGCCTGCTGTAATGAATCACCTAGAATAAACATTTTTTTTTGGCCGTGCTGCATAGTTTGTGGGATCTTAGTTTCCCGACCAGGGATTGAACCTGGGCCCCAGCAGTGAAAGCCCCAAGTCCTAACCACTGGACCACCAGGGAATTCCCAACAAATACCTTTTTTTTTTTTTTTTTTTTTTTTTC